GTCTTCAAAGGTCTCCGGTTCGTTGTCTCCTGGCACGGTCTCTTCTTCAGTATCTAGCATGATACGCCATGAGCTTCGAATGCCCAGTAAACGCATACACACCCCGTCCATTTTGCCCAGTCCAATACACAATCACAAATATGACAACAAGTGATGACGCATGATATTCAACTAAACAAGCAAAGGGTTACAAAGTTAGGTGTTAGTAAGATACAAATCCCCCAAAAAGATTTCGTCCTCCCAACCACAAGAATCAGACGCGGATTATTCGGGCAACGGTAACGTACCGCGTAGCACCAACCACAGGTTCTCAAAAGAGACAGTAAAATTGGGCCTTGCCCATTCCCTCCTTACACCAAACCCCCTAGGGTCCGAATACAACCGCTCCATTCAAGGGTTTCGAACAACTACTTGCGCAAGACTGAAATTTTCAAAAGGAAACACGCCCCGCCAAACAATTCAATTGGGACATAAATTTATCTCATAATAATGCTCATGTGCTCGAAACCCCGTTAGTCACCCCGTTAAGTTTCCGTTTAGATTAATGTTTTAAGTTAGTTACTACAAGCAAGTAACAAAAATAAACTTGCATAAGTGTAAGCATCGTTGAAGGGCTAAAATATAGGATATACAACCATGGCATGTGTGATATCATATTAAGACCCATTCATATATCTTAACAATCATATTCATGAACACAATAGCATGAAATACCAATGCCAAACAGAAATTTCAGATTTAGTACCGGTTAAAGATTAAAATTGAAAGGGTTGTTTCAGATTTTTCTCGAACTCAGCCTTCCTATGGTTCAAAGAGAATTTAATCTACTTTCCAGAACATATTTCGGAAGTGGGATAGCCTTTCTAGATTTTTAGTTATTTAAGAAACACTCCAGCGCTGTCCAGATTCATCGACCGTTAGGAAAATCAGATTTTCTTACAAACTGCTCACTCTTTTTCAATGAAACCAATTTTCCTTGAAAACTAACTTCTTAAGGAAGATTTTGGCATAAAAATGAGGTCCATAAGATTTTTATACATTTTTCTAGAATTTTTGAAAGTTGGATGTAAACAGATTTTTAATGCACAATACTCAAAACAAGAAGATTTCTGAGAAAAGAGATCCACTAAGGGAAATTTTTCATTTCTTTTGTGTGATGAAAATATGCTAAATAATATATTTTAAAATCAGAAATTTATCTTGAAGGTGTGCCTTTGGAAAGCTTGAGAGATTGGTATGGAAAGATAGTTTTGTACCGATTAAGAGAAACACAAGAAGTGTAGAATCATGGCTCAACTATTTTCATTTTTAACACAAGAAAATCATTAAAACATGTCTGAAAACAATGTTTAGAACCCTTAAGAGCATGTATTTGAAAAAAGAGAATAAAAGAGAGGGTTGTGTTGTGGCTTACTTGCTAGGCTAGGCCAAGTTGAACAAGATTGTTCTCCTCTTCCTTCCTCTCTCTCTCTCAAACTTTTCTCTTGCTCTCCTCTCCCTTCTCTAGGTCGAATGTAGGTGTGTTTGTTGCTTGTGTATGCCATGCTAAGAGGATGGTTGTATATATAGGCAAATTTGGTGTGAAAAGACACAAAGGCCCACTAGTTGGAATTGGATTGAGAAGTTTGGATTTACTTGGAGTCTAAAGGAATAGGGAGTGATTAGGGGACTTAAATTATGTGATTAGAAAAGATTTAGCTAGCCTCTAGTTAGAATGGAACTAGGTTGGGAACACAACCCCTTGATTTAGGGGTTGGTATTTTTGCTTCTAGAATGTCATGATTACAAGCCTTGAAAATTGATCCCTCATACTCCCCTAGGTTGGCCGGCCATGGGGAAGGGAAATGGGGAATATTATATTCAATATGTGTGTACCATGGAGATATTCCCAATATATATATATATATATATCCACAAATTGATTTGGTGGTACTAATGTATAAAGAGTACATGTACTAATTTGGGGCAAATCTTGAAATTAATAAAAGAAGTGAGGGCTTGGAATTAAACTCATGTATTGGAACCTTATTTATGTAGAATTAAATTAAATTAGGCTAAGGAACCTAATTCGGCTAGGATATTCTTGTTCCGATAAAAAAAATAAAAGAAATATACTAACCGGCAAGATTCGAAATAATTTAAGAATCTGAGGGACTTTAAGGAAATAATTCAAACGTAAGGGTTTTTAAAGAAAATACATTTTTTAGGGTCTTCACACCGACAATCCAATTATGACTCAAATAAAAAATCACAAGGAGATGAAGCAAAGGAAATCAAAGGCAAAAGCTAGCTTATTTGCAGCTATTTTATCTTCAATTTTCACTAGAATCATGACACTGAAAGCAGCAAATTGAATTTGGGACTTCCTGAAGAAGGAGTATGAAAGAAATGAACGAGTCAAAGGCATGCAAGTTCTTAATCTGATTAGAGAATTTGAGATGCAAAGAATGAAGGAATTAGAAACAATCAAGGATTACTCTAACAGACTCCTTGACATTGTTAACAAAGTACGGCTTCTTGGTATTGATTTTTTTGATTCTAGAATAGTTCAAAAAATCCTTGTAACAGGTCCTAAAAAGTTTGAGGCTACAATATCATCAATAGAAAACTCAAAAGATGTGTCAAGTATTACCTTGGCAGAACTGTTGAATGCACTACAGGCTCAGGAACAAAGGAGACTTATGACGCAAGAAGGATCTGTGAAGGGTGCATTTCAAGCTATATCAAAGAAAAACATGTACAAGAAAGATAAGCAAAGCAACAGCAATAATAGCAGCAACAACACTACATTTCCCCCATGTCCTTAGTACAAAAATTCCAATCATCCACAGAAAAGGTGTTGGTGGAGGCCGGATAAAATGTCACAAGTGTGGTCAATTAAGGATATGCAAATCTCAACAGCAGCAAGGAGAAGCCAAAACTACTGTTGAACAACCTCAAGAGGAACAACTGTTTGTAAAATCATGCTTTGCCACCAATAGCTCCATAGAAAGCTGGCTTCTAGACAGTGGTTGTACAAGCCATATGACTTATGATCAAGAGCTTTTCAAAGAGCTTGACAAAACTGCCATTTCTAAAGTTAGAATTG